CAGAGAAGTTTCAAGGATTGCCTGTTTCAGAGCGATCGGCACACAGAAAGATCTAAACTTGGTTTCACTTGATAATCAGGCATGAGCTCAGTGGAAAATGGTTTTGATTCATTTCTTCTCTTTATTTTATTCAAGAAGGTTGAGAGGATAGTCAGGGGGACTGAGAAGATCCCTGACTCGCTGAAACTCCCAGTTCTCCTCCCGCAGGAGAACAGGAAAAAAGTAAATGGGGACTCCAGCCCCCACCCCCAGACAAAGCTAGAGACAGACAAGACCCAAGAATACCAACTGACTGTCCTTCAGTTTGTCCTCCGTGGGCAATGGCCAGAACACTTGGGGCTCAGCCCTCAGACCACCTCAAATAGGACTATTAGGGAGTCCATGGTCCTTCTTGGGAGTGGTGGGGGTCTTAGTCTGCCAGAGGTGCCCCTATGGTGAAGACATCCACCACACTCAGGAACATGGTCTTGTCAGGGATCTGGGTGAGGCATGCGGAGCCCCAGTTATACTTACACATGCCTTCCACCATGGCGGGCATGACTGGAGGGTTCCCCTGACAGCGTGTAAGGAGCTGGAACGGGCTCCTCGGAAGATGGTCAGGAAGTTGTTGGCCATTGATCTCCTAAATTTCCTTGAGAATGAACTTCTGTGGTTTGTTTGCCTTGCCCTCCAGGCAGCAGTGTTACAGGGCTTTGTGGAAGATGATCTGGTAGGACCAACTGGTGCTGGGCTCTGCGTCTAGCCCTGAACCTGTGTGCTCAGGCACCCACAGCAGGGAGGAGACATTGCTGCCATTCCCCAGTTGTGGTGGTCGCAGCTACCAGGCAGAAGACCAGCGCGGGGCGCGGGGCGGGGGGTTGGCGGGGAGGTGGCGCATGAGTCCCACTGGGGATGGAGTGCAACACCGTGAGCCTCTTCACATCAAGTTATGAACTAGGATTATAAAACCAAGAGCAAAATACTCAAGCGACTATTTTAAAATCAGTATTTTCCTTGGCGACTTATATATTAGATCGTGTTCTGTGTAGCCTCAATTTAGAGAGGTTCCAGGGATAGCTGGACATAATCTAAGCAGTCCACACGCGTGAACATCTAAACTTCCTTGAATTTACTCGGTAAATCAGGGATGGACTCAGAGGGGAATGGTTTTGTAGTTCACGCTAGGAGAAAGAACCCGCTGTCCTGCCAGCCCGCCATGGGGAGAGTTTTACACACCTGATCCCCAGTCCCGAACTTCCTCCCTCACGGTGGGGCAGCACCAGGAGTTAAGATGGACGAAAGATGCACAGAGGCATCTTAGAAAGTCGGTGTCCCCGAACAGTGGCCACCATATTCGAAGGAAAGGAGATGTGGTATAAGGCAGGTGTGTGCTATGAAATGCAAAGGCTTCTGGGGACTGAGGAGAGGGGTGCACCGTTGCCCGGATCACATACGACGTACCGGGGCATTATTTCCGCTGTGCCTGGGAGAACCACCTCACTGGGGTCTCTGCCTGCAGTGCACAGACCCGTGAAGTAGTCTCCCACCCACTGTGCCCACAACACCACGCTTGCCGCGGGCACCACGGCTGCCGCGGGGGACCACGCTTGCTGCCACGGCCACGCTTGCCGCTTCGGCCACACTTGCCACCACGGCCACACTAGCTGCCCGGGGAGAGTATGTAGAGGCTGAGGCTCACGCGCGGCGCTCAGACTCAGACATCCTGGGAACAGTGAGAAGCTTCTTCCTCAGCACTCTCGGTGCTAAGGGCGGCAAGTCAGGACCTAGGACCTCCAGGCGAGCTGGGAGTGGAAAGATCAGGTTGGAGGGGTCCTAAAACCCTCCATTTGGTCTGTCCTGGAGAGAGTGGAGGTGCTACATGAGAGAGCACGCTTACAATTGAGAGTGAGTGCAGGTATGATTTCAGCAGATCATCACCATTCCAAGTGTGCATGCGATCCCGTGAGAGAGAGAGAGAGACTCGGAGGCAGGCTCGGGCCGCGATTCACAGTGAACCCACGTGGATGCCCCGGGTTGTCAGACCCCCTGCGCCGGCCTGTGCTCTGGGGAGTGCGCACATGTTTGAAGACAGAAATGAGTTTGTGGGAAAGCTTTGCGCGTGAGCTTTAGTATCCGCAGGGACTCTTCAGTTCGAGCGTGCTCTGCTCTCTAGTGGAGGACTGAAGTGCAGGGGAGGCGGGCACAGGACTGGAATTGGACGCCACAAGGACAACTTGGCAAACAGCAGCCAGAAGCAAGGGGCAGCTGGGCAAATGGCTCCAGCAGGGTGAGGAGCCAGAGGTGATGGATGACAGGATAGGAAGAGGAAGGGCTAGAAGTCCGTTTGGAGGCTTGGGAAGCATCGGTGCCTAACACCTTCAGGCTCAGGCCCAGCAGGGCTTCCAGGTCCTCCTAACCCACATGAGAGACCACCCAGCACGAATCCAGGAAGCCACACAAGGTGGGAATCTGGAAAATTGAGATTGCGATTTCACAAAGTCCCTCTTTGGGCCTGAGGGCTCTCGTAAATTCCTCCCCCGCTGGGGGACAGGCACATGGCTACTAACCACAATATGTTCTCAAGCTGGGAATATGGTCCCCATTTCAAAGATGAGTACATTGAGGTGCTGAGAAGTTAATTGCCCTTGACCTTACTGCCTGGAATTGAGTTCTACTGACAAAGTTCTTGCTATCACTCCCATCTCTTGCTTCCCATGAGCTTTGCCCCTCTGTAATTCCAGCTATCCGAATCAGACACCCTGCTTGTGTCCAGAATCAATGTTGCTGTACGTTGTTAACCATCCAAGCCTCACTTGGACGGGGGATCTAGGGTCAGACTTGGGGAGCTAGGATGCCCTGCTTCCTGGATCTTGCCCTATACGACTGCACCTCTGGGGATGGAGAGGGGCGCACGTTCAAAACCCAGCACGTTCAAAACTGAACAGGTGAAATTTACCATGACGTCAAACTGCCCTCAACTTCCTGCTCATATTAAGGGTATTTCTCCTCAGTCCCCACCATCCCTCTCCCTCCCTCCACTCCCATCAATGACCTCAATGCAAATACAAGTGGGATGGTCCCGCAGAATGTTCTAGGTTCTGGACGTAAATGGGTGACACAATCCAATGGGGTACGAGATCTGTCCTCTCATTGGTTGCTCAGAGCTCCTGGACCACCCCAGACCCAGAGCGGCGGGAATAAGAGCAGCTGCTGGTGCTGGGAGGCAGCAGAGCCACCGCTCCGCTCAACTGTCCCTGCCGCTTCCACAGCGCCATCGCCTGACGCCAACGCTGCCGCAGCTGCCACCGCCTGGGCTCCAAGCCACCTGCTGCCTGCTGCCAGGTGAGCCCCGAGATTCCTGCTCAGCTGTGTGCTTCTCTCTCCTTCTTCTTCCCTCCCTCTTCTGCATTCGTCTTTCTTGTAGCTGCCCTCCCTGCGTGTCTTAGAGTCTCTGTGCACTTCTGTCTGGGTCTCTTCATCACAAAATCTCTGTTACTCTACGATTCATCGCAGGCTCCTGCCTCAGGTAACACTGGACAGTCTTGGTTCCAGGACTCCCTGCTTCACTCCGCTCTGAGACAGGCTTCAGTCTTGCTGTTCTTGCTGCACTTGCGCTCAGGACCCTGGAGCTCCACAGACACCGCGCACACAGTGGGACGCAAGGGTGCTCACGGATCCTGTTTGTGCCTAGTGGTCCCTGGGAAATCATTTCGGAACTTTGGCCAGCCTCAGTGGGGGTCAAATAGGCTCAAAACCCTAGAGGCAGGCAGCCTTGAACAGCAAGCCCCATTAGTGAGTTCTGGGAGCTTTTCCCCCCTGCTTTAAGTCCTAGCCCCAATTTAAGACTCTGCTTAAGCTTGGTTCTTGCAGGTTCTTTGCCAGAGTGCGGAGCAGGTGAGCAGTAGAATTTGTTTCTTTAGTTTCTCTAAGATTCCATTGGTAGAGATATTTCCTTTTTAGTTATCTCCCCATGCCCCGCCAGGTATAAGCAAAAGCCCTACACAGGGAGGACAGTTCTGGGTTGTGATATGAGAGCAGCTTTGGTGACAGGGTGCTCAGAGATTGTCTTCAATGGAGACCTGGCCATTGTGAGAGTGTAGAATAGTGGGGAGGGGGCTATGGACAGAATACTCTTCATTCAGTTGTCCTGCTAGGATAGCTTTGCTCTCACTCATCTGTCTTTGCTAAACTCTGTATGCTACAGGCTCACTGGATCTTCCAGCAGTCCACTTCCCTGGTGAGTTGAAACAATCGTAGAGGAAATGACATGACCAGCCTGAAGGCACCATGCCAGGGAGTTATAGTTAGGAGCAGAACTAGAGCCCAGGTGCTTGGGCTCATAGAACTTCAAACTGGTGCAGAAGGTGACATCTTTCTTCCCTTGCAGAGAAGCATCATGGGCTTCTGGAAGTTCTCTCCTTTACTGGTTCTCAGCGTCCTGGCCCTGTACCAGGTGGGCGTCCTCCAGGCAGCACCATTCAGGTAAGACAGCCCTGTCAGGAGTACCCTCCCCTCCCACTGCTCCTGGGATCAGACAATTCCTTTCTCAGAATTGTGGTGTGCTGAAAGTTTACCAACTGGTGAGGGGGGCAATGGGGGAGTGTATATTTATCTGATATAAAGATGTGTAGCACATAATTGAAAAATAACAATGATATACAATATTCTTCATTATAAATTTCATACAACTCATTGAGTCTCACAGAATGCTTTTGTTATTTTTACCAGGAAGCCTGGCTGCTTATTCTGGGGAGACAGGGGGGGACTCAAGAGCTTGCATTGGGTTTTCTTTCCTTCCCTAGGTCAGCTTTGGAGAGTCGTCCAGACCCTGTGCGCAATGAGGAGGAATTGCGACTCCTACTGGCTGCAGTGCTGAAGGACTATGTGCAAATAAAGGCCCGTGAGCTGCAGCAGGAGCAGGAGACTGAGGGCTCCAGGTGAGGCTCCCCACCCAGCTCAACTCAGGGCAGCCCCTCCCTCCTGTCATGCCCAGGAAGGCATATCCCAGGAGGTAAGAGAGAACACAGCCAGACAGGAGGCCAGCACACTGCCATTGTTCACCTGGGCCTGGGGCCCAGCTATTCTCAGGCTCCACTGACAACAGAGGTCACACAGAGTCTATGGTTAGAGCACATGGAAAAAGATCCCTTTCTGAAAGCAGTTGGGAAAGGTATGACATCCCCCACTCTGGAAATTGGGCTGGTAGTACTGAGGGGACTTCCCAG